AGGGACGAAATAAATTTCCACAGTCCCCAGGATGCGACCCACACCAGTTGACTAACACCCAGGTACCTACTTAATGCTCAGTGAACAGGGACAGAAAGTGTCTTAGGAAATATGCCCCAATGTTTCTATCCATTCCAGGGATCGAACCACGGATCTAAGTGTGTGAGCTAAGCGTACTACCAGCCGAGCTACGGTTTACATTTGTCAAATATTAAGACTATCCACATTTTGCGTCGACTAGATGAAAGAAATGATTTTTGATGAAACTGCAACCCAGTGATGACAATTACTTTGTGGTAATAAGGTACTTATTTTTTTAAGACTGTATCTCCATATTGTCTTGTGTACATTAGTTACATGAAATAATTGTAATAAATGAATTGACTAATATTTTTGGGTATGTAACTATGGGAGGCAGAGTCTGATAAAGATCCATTATGATCTCTATAATCTCGTTTCATTTTACACTATCGCTCACAGGATGAGTATGGGATACACAATAAAACAGCAGCTTATTACACTCATAGGAGAGGAACGCTACACCCGTAGGGGGTTATACAGCGCTTGGGGAAATAAAATATCGAAAGCCCCTCACCAGCATCAAGGAATTTCCCTTGAGGACAATTAGTTGTTCAGGCGGTATAATTAATATACATCCGTCAACAACCTTCTATGGCTGAATTCTTTCAGCCACTTCTACTGAAAGATGTCGGCATCCTCTACTGTTCCATATTTAGATTAAAGGACTGTCCTGCATCCACACCCTAGACGAAACTTGGGACTTCACGAATCCCCGTGTGATCAATTCGGCGCTCAACGACTCCCTTTTCTAGCAAAGGTATCTGTGGACGGCGGCATCCAGCAGGTGGAACAAAGCCCTGTTATATCTATGGCGCTCCATCATGAGCGCTTCCAGGCCCTTCGAATCCCTGCCCATGGACGCACTTCCCTCTCCCGGCTCTGGATGTGGTGTTGACGTGTCTCTGTCCTGGACACTTTCATCTCCACACTGTGATTGTTCTTTCTTTTTTTTTTTCCTCTCCTGGGCGGTAGGTTTATTGCGCACCCATAGCTCATGCTTAATAATAATAATAATAATAATAATAATAATAATAATAATAATAATAATAATAATAATAATAATAATAATAATAATAATAATAATCTTTATTCTACAAGTACATGTATAAGGTATAAAGGCCTAGCTGATATCAATGGCATATACTACTATACAGAAAGCCCCTTGTTATGCAGAGCATTTCGGGCAAATTAAGTCAATTTTATCTCCAGGATGCGACCCACACCAGTCAACTAACACCAAGGTACCTATTTTACTGATAGGTAAACAGGGACAGCAGGTGCCTTAAGGAAACATGTCTCTATATTTCACTCGTACCGGGGATCAACCCCCAGACCTCAGTGTATGAGCTGAGTGCACTAGCAATTAAGCTATGTAAGACACAAGGTTACAGCAGCCACAGCAGATTCTTGTCAGACCCCCCACCCATTGGATTACATTAAAATACTACATTTATTTCATATAGTACAATCCCATGGCATAATATTACAATCCTATGACATAATTGACCCCTGGGTGTCTTCAAGAGCTGGACAGGCACCTAAAATTAATTTTTGACCAGCCGGGCTGTGGTTCATACGTCGGTTTGCGTGCGGCCAGCAGTAACAGCTTAGTTGATCAGGCTCTGATCCACCGCGAGGCCTGGTCGTGGACCTGGCCACGGGGGCATTGATCCCCGAAACACCCTCCAGGTACACTCCAGGTACAGAATACAACACGTGGATACAACCCCCTCCCCCCGCAAAAAAAATACTCACATATTTTACCTTCACCAATGCACACATTGGTCATTTACTTGGTTGTAATTTCATCAAATATCAGTTTCAATAATGTGTGACATTTGTAATCCCTACTGTAATCCCTATCCCAAGAGGATTCATACAATAAAAGTTTATACAGTAAGAGGAGTCATTCCCCAAAAGGTTCAAACAACAAGAAGGTTCATATAGCAAATGCGTTCATGGAACAAAAGAGCTCGTTCAAGAAGTTTTATAGCAAAATGGTTCATGCACCAAGAGGGTTCATGTAGGAAGGTTTATAGACAAAGATGTAAGCCACAGAACTGTGTCCTTTGATGGTGACATCCGAATTTGTATAACAGTGTCATCCATCGAAGACACTGCAAATCTCCAAGCGGATATCAACCAAATTTTTTTTTTTTTACACAGGGTTTGACAAGGTTAGGTTAAGGATCCCTAGCTTTATTAACAAGCTAAGAGCTGTTACCTACATCAGCTCATTTGAAAGCATTTTTATTGTTATGAAAGATACAAGTAGGGGACAGGATGAAGTTGGAACCATCATTTTCATCTTTAAATGGGCCGCAGAAAACAATATGAAGTTCAACGAAGAAAAATTTCAATTACTCCACTATGGAAAACTCGAGAAAATAAAAACTGTGTTGGAGTACAAAATAAATTTCAACCATATGATAGAGCGAAAAACTAATGTGAAGGCCCTGGGAGTGATAATGTCAGAGAATCTCACTTTCAAAGATCACATTGCATCTACCACATCTGCTAGGACAATGATAGGATGGATAATGTGAACCTTCAAGACTAGAGATGCAAAGCCCATGATGATTCTCTTCTATCGCTTGTTCTCTCTATGCTGGAATATTGCTGTACACTAATGGCCCCTTTCAAGGCAGACAAAATTACAGACCTTGAGAATATACAGAGAAATTTCATAGCACGTACAAGTACGATACAATAGACCCCTGGCTGTCTTCAGGAAGGCGCTGGACAGGCACCTAAAGTCAGTACCTGATCAGCCGGGCTGTGGTTCGTACGTTGGTTACGTGCGATCATCAGTAACAGCCTGGTTGATCAGGCTCTGATCACCGTGAGGCCTGATCACGGATCGGGCCGCGGGGGCGTTGACCCCCGAAACTCCCTCCAGGTATAAGGAGGGTTCATACAGCAAGAAAGTTTAAGCAGAAAGAGTTTATACAGCACGAGATTTCATACATCAAGAGGATTTATAATGCAAAAGCATTCATACTGAAAGAAGGTTTATATAGCAAGAGAGGGGGGCCCCTCATACTGCAAGAAGGTTCATACTGCAAGAGGGTTCGTATTGCGGGAGAAGTCATCCAGCAAAAAGGGATTCATACAACAAGAGAGACATTTCATACTGAAAGAGAAGTCATATAGCAAGAGAATTCATACAGCAAGAGGGGTTCATATACCAAGAAGAGTTCACACAGACAAGATAAAAGATAAAGATTTTATTTCTTTGTAAAGGTGATCATTTACTGATTCAGATAGTGAGTTCCAGATCTTCGGGCCCTTTATGTGCACTGCATTTTTTGCATAGTGTGAGACTGACGCGAGAGATGTTGAAGAGTGCCTTGTGCATTGTATTGTGACTGTGGAATCTTGCAGCAAGAAATGCTCATGCATGCTAGTGGCTTTCTTCTTGCTTAACAATATTTTACTACATGTAAACTACATATTTTATACTATACCAAGATTTTGATTTAGATTTTGCCACCGAAGTGGTTAGTTTATTATGCACCTCATATCCATCCTGTGGACGGTAGCGCAAGAGCATATGGATACACAAAAGGCCTAGGAACTAGGCCCAAAAAGGGTTAACAGGAGCACATATGGGTTTACATCTACATATCTACAGTTCACTTATCTGTTACAAGCAAATTTAGGAAATTTGCTTAGTATATCTGGTATCTTATTTTCATTAATACGATATCTTGACATATCACATAGGTTATTATACTGTTTATTTCTATTCCTCAATAAATGGACAATTAAGCACATAGTGTTCAAGACAGTGACCATATGTTTGATCACATAATTTACATTTAGTTTGATCATCATCTGTGTGTCTCCCAAACTGCCAGAAGTACTTGTAACCAAGCCTAAGCCTGGCCACTACAACATCATCAGTCTGTTCACATTGCACGTTGCTCCATAAACATACTTATCTACGTTCATGTTATCATAGTGGGTTATAGATCTACTCAGGCTTCTAACTGCATTCCTATAACAATCATTTTCATTATTTACTTCTCTCCTAATATTATTCCTAATGCTAGACACAGTTATACCAGAGTTATATTCTACATTCTTCTTCTAGTTACTCTTCTTGGCTAACATATCAACTTTATCATGAAAGAGTAATCCAATGTGTGATGGGATCCATACCAATTGTACATTAATTCCTTTGTCCCTGATTTTTTAGTATCTATACCTGGCTTCTCCAATGAGCATGTTGTTGGAGTCATTATATGAGTCAAGAGCCTTCAATGATGACATAGAATCAGTAATGATGATAATCGAGCTCGGTGTCATAAGTTATCCTTAACACCATTAGGATTGCAAACAGTTCGGTTTGCCATGTAGACGCCCAGTTGTTAATTCTTATGCCTAACTCAACAAATTTATTATCGTTCTTAACTAGGGAGGTGGCAACAAGAGCAGATGCAGCCCTGCCAGAAGACTCCTGTTTAGATCCATCAGTGTATATAACTTGTGATAACTTATTACTACCAGTTAGGCGAGAAATTTCTTCTTGAGCAGTTGCTTTAACAAGTGATTTAAGGAAGGGATTACTAGCAATGAGCTTCTTGGGAGGGACTTGTAGGTATGTGATATTAAATGAACACATCTTCCATGGAAGGGTTAAATGCTCTTGTTGTCTACAGTGATACAGTTCATGCAGGTTATAAAACTTAATGCAATTGCACGTTTTCACAATCCATTTAGACCTGTGTGTATTTACTTCTAGACACTTAATAAGGTTCATTGTGACAGTGTCTGGTTCATTTCTTAACATTCTAATACCAAGTACAGTGTTAATCTCAACAATCCTATCACTGATACTAGAAATACCAAGCTCCTTCCTCATATTAAGAACCTTTGTAGATTTGGGACACCCAAGAATAATACCAAGAAATATTTTTTTGAAGAAGAGATTCATACAGCAAGAGACAGAGGTCATACAGCAAGAGTGTTCGTGAGGGCCATATCCGTCTCAGCCCTTAAGCCCAGCAACAACACAGGAAGGGTTGGCAGCCCTGGTTGGTGACAGCAGATGTAAACACGAAATGACTTCAAGGGGTTGGGCAGGATTCACGGAGGAAGATATTAAAAATGTACAAAGGGGAAGTGCCTCACGAGGTGGGCAAGGTAATACGAAAACACGTAAGCAGTTCTTGCTATTCAAGGTAGTTTGAGAGTAAATTTTATCCCCGAAGTAATATTTCTGAAAGCAAACTTTCTAGGAAAGTTTTTTGCAGAAAGACTAAACTAGTGTTAAAGTTGCTGTTATTTATGGGATCCACGGTATTTGAGATAGGTTATTTTGTGATAAGTAATATGTTTTACAGGAGATTATTTTGCGATAAGTGATATATTTTACAGGAGAGGTTTCTTTTCAAAACACTTGCCCTCTTATTAACGTTTTAAAGAACAGATTTTGATTATTTTGCTCAGTTCTGATTCCCGTCCCCTCATGGAAGGTTCCTTGATGTTGGTGAAGGGCTCTTGATTTAGGGAATTGGATCTGTGCTTCAGTTCCCCGAATTAAGCCTGAATGCCTTCCACATCCCCCCCGGGCGCTGTATAATCCTACGGGTTTAGCGCTTCCCCCTTGATTATAATAATAATAATAACCTGATTCCCGTATTACAAAATGGATGCAAGTAAGTTTAAGTACAAATTTTGGGTGATTGCAATTATCTGACAAAGTAACATATATGTAAATTACCTAGGATAACACAAAGGAGTCAAGGTCATTTATTTACATTAGGATCCTTGAAAAGTGGGATAGAAAATAGACAGAGAAGGATAGCGAAGTTGATACCATATATTGGTCAAGATATATATAGAAAAGCTATTTGGCAGATTTGGGTGAAAATTTATAGTTAACAATATTCAGTAGTAAGTGGGTCTGCATTCATGTTTTTTTTTTATGGGGAGGAGGGCTGTATAACCATTTTGGGTTTAACGCTTAACTTTATTGTATCATTATTATTATTTTGGGGTCAGATTCTTTAAAATAGTATTATGCTTTTTTTATGTTAAGGGCTATCCAAGGAATGGGACTTGTCTTCACCTTCCGTGGATTGAAACTGAATGCCTTCTATTCCCCAAGAGCTATATGACCTCTGTCATAAGGCAGGTTTTTTGCAGCTCAATTGAGGTTCAGTAAATTGCGGGATGCATCCCAGCCTGTCTGTAATATCCTTCACAAGGACTTCTAGGTCCAGGAGAGTGATGACATGATTCTTATCCTCCACACAAAGACTATACCAACCTATTGTGATTGACAGGAACTGCTGTAGATGGTGGAAAAGGTAGACAATCATGCAGAGCAAAAGGGGCAAATTGCAAGTGTGACAACACCTCTCTGTCATGGTCTTTTAGTTACTGAAAGATCACTCTATTTCTGTGTCATGTTTATCAGAGTTAGTGTGATGCCAAACATATGTCTATTTCTAATTAATTTTCTTTTACAGTTGAAAATGCAATATTTTTTGTTACTCAATCACCAGCAAACTTTTTTTTTTTTCACTTTACCAGCAGATATTGTAGTTAGAGATAGTTACAGTGAGCTTGAATAGTTACCAGTGAGGTAATCTCTAAGTTGGACTGGAGAGTTTGGGATTTTGCTAGCTTGATTATTCCAACAGTCAAAACAAAACATTTATTTTATTTGCTGTCTCCAAGGCTTGGAGGTGAGATTCATTAGGTGTGGTTAGAACTATTTCTTCGATTTTGATACCTTACATATCTGAAAAGGCATTATCCAGGTCTTTTTTATATCTCCTTTAATAAGATGGAATCTGTTCATGAGCTCAGCAAATGTAATAGTTTATCCACAAGTGCAACTAATGTGACATTTTGTTGTGGCAACGTTTCACTCTCCAGGAGCTTTGTCAAGCCATTACTGTAATTCTACCAACATATATACAATAGTTTATCCCATGGCTAGTTCTTTAGCCATGGGATATTTAATCCCATTGTTGTCATTTCTTTGGTTTTTAATGGGCAATGTCTGTTGTAGAGGCTTTGTGTGGTGTGAGAGAATATGTGAACATTTGAGTTAATGTCTTAGCCACTGTGCAGTTGCTGATTGCCACTATAAAGTTATTTATTGACAGCTCATTAAGGAGCCTGAAGATTTTACTAGTTTCATGGGGTAGTGTTCTTTAAACTGGTGAAGGTAGAGTAGTGATCAGTAGTACATGTAAACTACACTATTTGTACTGCATAAAGAAATAAAAATTGTATTGTTTGTGATATTGCCTGCTGTTGGAGGAGCTGGAATATTTGTCCATATGTGATCAAGTGATATTTCAGCAGTCTCAGTTATTCTTGTAAACTTTGTTATTGTGGGTATTAATAAGCAGTATTGCTCATATTAATAAGGAAATCTTCTACTGCTGAGTGCTCATGGCTTGTTGGTAGCATCCTCAGCTCATATACTGAGGGATCCAGGATCGATCTCTGGCACAGATGAAACATTGGGCATGTTTCCGTACACCTGCTGCCCCAATCACCTAGCAGTATAGGCACCTGGATGTTAGCCAGCTTTTGTGAGTTGCACCCTGGGGGACAAGATTGAAGAACCCCAGTGGAAATAAGACAGAGTCCCTGATGATACACTGGCATTTTTGAGTTATCCTGGGTGCTATAGTCATAAATCAAACAACTGCAAGTTAAACCTTTAACCCTTTGACTGTCGCAACCCCCAATCCTGAGGTGTCTCCTGGTGTCGCAAAATTTCAAAAAAAAAAAAATTATTTTTTCTTATGAAATGATAGAGAATCTTTTCCCGATTGTAATGACACCAAAAAAAACGAAATTTGATGGAAAACTGACGGAATTATGCTCTCGCAAAGTTAGCGACCTCGGCGATATTTACAAATCGGCGATTTCGCCCACTTTGAGCCCTATTTTCGGCTAATTCTGTTGTTCCAGTCGACCAAACTCATAGCTATTTCTTTAGAACTCCATTTTTTCTATCGATTGAGTACAAGAAACTGTCCATTTACTGATTTTAACTACCCAATAACGTGGTCAGAAATTTGCAATTTGGCCAATTTCACGAAAATTAAAAAATATGACAATTTCAAAATAAGGTCCAGAATGAACAATGCAGACATTCCTGGCTCTAAAATAACATTTTCTTTGTTCATCAGTCATGTCTCCAGGCCCCTCTGATATTACTCTTGCTTTCTATTTTGAATTTTTATTCAAACAAAAAATAGAAGACTTACTATTATGCAGACTACTGCAATACTGTAATAATTGTATAAATAACATCAACCCATTCATGACTGCATATTAGAATGGCTAGTTGGACATTTATTGGACAATGACATCATTTGTTTACTTTTGAACATTGGCAAAAATCAAACATTTCCCCTACTTTGAGCTCCGTTTTCAGGTTCTTTTTATAGTAAAATCAATCAAAATCACCTCAATTTCTATAATATGTTTTCCATTCTATCAAATGAGACAAAGAAAATGAGAATACAACCATAAATACTTTACGAAAATAGACCACAAAATCGGCATATTAATTAAAAAAAACGGTCGGAGTTTTTTTTTTCTCATGCACTGCATGCTCCAGGATTTTTTTTATATGGTGCACACTGACCACACAGACCCATTCTCTCACATGTGGGCCTACCAGCTTTCTCCTGCTTGATCTGAAGCCGCTAGAATTTATGAGTATATATATGTCAAACACGGTACCTCGTAAGACGTATATATACGGCCGCGACAGTCAAAGGGTTAAATTTGCCATTTATATATATAAATTGACTTATCTTTCAATCCCCATTCTTTTTCAAGGGTGTGAGCTGAAGGTAAAACCTGAACTGCAAGATGCAATATCTATGATATTAGTTTCGGAGCAAACAGGTTTATATTGAACTTTTGAAGTCATAAATGTTAATGAACAGTTTTTCCTTAATCAGATAAAGCATTATTATATATGTAGAAGTCTCAAACTCTCCACAGCAAAAGAATGTTTACTATTTCAATAATTTTAAATTTAGTCAAAATGAAAGGTTGTTAATACATTTGATTACAGGAAGATAAAAAAGTGTGTGAGAAAAGAATATAGGGCTTGTATTAGGTGGTGCATATAAGTGGTATCTAAATAGAAAACAGTTAATGAAGTAATATTTATAATTTGTATTAGACAGCTGAAATCTGGTGTTTAACCCCTTGACTATCGCAACCCCAAATCCTGAGGTGTCTCCTGGTGTCACAAAATTTAAAAAAAAAAGTTATTTTTTCTTATGAAATGATAGAGAATCTTTTCCTAATTGCAATGACACCAAAAGAACGAAATTTGATGGAAAACTTACGGAATTACGCTCTCACAAAGTTAGCGACCTTGGCGATATTTATGAATCGACGATTTCGCCCACTTTGAGCCCTATTTTCGGCTAATTCCATTGTTCCAGTCGACCAAACTCATAGCTGTTTCTTTAGAACTCCATTTTTTCTATCGATTGAGTACAAGAAACTGCCCATTTACCGATTTCAACTACCCAATAACGTGGTCAGAAATTTGCAATTTGGCCAATTTCACGAAAATTAAAAAATATGACAATTTCAAAATAGGGTCCAGAATGAACAATGCAGACATTGATAAATTAGACACATGTGCAACTCTTGGGTATGTGTCTAATTTATCAACGTGTCGGTTCTCTGAACCATTCATCTACAATGCAGACATTCCTGGCTCTAAAATAACATTTTCTTTGCTCATCAGTCATGTTTCTAGGCCCCTCTGATATTACTCTTGCTTTCTATTTTGAATTTTTATTCAAACAAAAAATAGAAGATTTACTGTTATGCAGAATACTACAATATTGTAATAATTGTATAAATAATGTCAACCCATTCATGACTGCATATTAGAATAGCTACTTGGACATTTATTGGAAAATGACATCATCTGTTTACTTTTGAACATTGGCAAAAATCAAACATTTCCCCTACTTTGAGCTCCATTTCAAGGTTCTTTTCATAGTAAAACTAATCAAAATCACCTCTATTTCTATAATATGTTTTCCATTCTATCAAATGAGACCAAGAAAACGAGAATACAGCCATAAATACTTTACGAAAATAGACCACAAAGTCTGCCTTTTAATTAAAAAAACAGTCGGAGTTTTTTTTTTTCTCATTATGCACTGTGTGCTGCAGGATTTTTTTTATATGGTGCACACTGACCACACAGACCCATTCTCTCACATGTGGGCCTACCAGCTTTCTCCTGCTTGATTTGAAGCCACTAGAATTTATGAGTATATATACGTCAAAAACGGTGGCTCGTAAGACGTATATATATGACCAAAACAGGCAAAGGGTTAAATGAAAAAGATCACCAGTACTATATCATTATTCATGATTAATTAATATCATGTACTGTACAGTAGTTCAGTTAACAAAACCTCATTATTGTTTTTTACCTTATTTTATTAATATTTTACTATACTTGCAGTATCGAATCAAAAGACTGAATTGCGTCAAGTCAGGCTACAATCCTCAGGAAAAACACTGACAAAAGAGAAGCCAGGAAAGATTCATTCTACTAAGACAACTCACAATTATTCACCCATTCCACCACAAGCTCGACTCTCCCAAGCTCAGGTATGAGATGTTGTCTTAGAGTAAATAAAAGTGAAAAAGAATTATTCAGTATTTTAATAGATATGTTGGCAGTTTAGTCTCAGTTCTCCTTACACAATTTGTTATTTTCACAATATGGTGAGATTTTCATTTCATTTTATTCGTAAATTCATAAGAAACAAGCTGACAAATCTCTACTACTTATTTATTTTGGGGGAGAAGAACATTTCTTGTAGTAAGAAATTTATTGTACTCTTTGTAAAGTCTGTTTCAGAAAAATTACAAACTAGGATTACAGTGTAAAATTAACAGTTCAGTGATTTTTTTTTAACCACACTGGCTGTCGCTCACCAAGGTAGGGTAACCCAAAATAGGAAACATATTTACCATTATTCATTCTAGACATGACCTTCTGAACTGCATCATGCCAACCTCTCCATTAGAGGGAGGGGAGTGAATCTGGCTAACTGGGTTATCTCAATCTCTTCATTAAATGTTAACCTTGTCACACTCAAGTCATGTCAATTCATAAAAATAACTGGTCCTCTTGTTGTGTTTAGGAACAAAATTATTTTTATTAACACTTTGGTCATCTCCCACCAAAGCAGGGTGGCCCATAAAAGAAAAGCTTTCTCCATCATTCACTCCATCACTGTCTTGCCAGAGGCGCACTTAGGCTACAGTTATAAAACTTCAACATTAACACCACTTCTTCAGACTGCAGGCACTGTACTTCCCATCTCCAGTACTCAAGTCTGACCTGCCTTTTTCCCTGAATCCCTTCGCAAATGTTACCTTGCTCACACTCCAACAGCATGTCAAGTCCTAAAAACCATTTGCCTCCATTCACTCCTATCTAACACGCTCATGCATGCTTGCTGGAAGTCCAAGCCCCTCTTACACAAAACCTCCTCTACCCCCTCCCTCCAGCCTTTCTTAGGCTGACCCCTACAAAATACAGTGGAACCTTGGCTTACAAATGCCCCACCATGCTAATTTTTCAGGATACAAACAGTCACTCCATCGATTTTTTGCTTCTGGATATGAACAGAATTTCAGGATGCGAACTTCTCCCACAAGGGAGGCTCCTTGGTGAGGGGCTCTTGATCAAAGAAATTGGATCTGTGCTCCACTTCTCTAAATTAACAATAATAATAAGAACATAAGAAAGGAGGAACACTGCAGAAAGCCCATTGGCCCATACTAGGCAGGTCCTTCATAATCCATCTCACTAACAGAATATTTGCCCAATTCAGTTTTCAGTGCTACCCAAGAAATAAGCTTTGATAATTCTAGTATTTACTCATGTGCAAGTCCCACTCAAATCCAACCCCTCTCACTCGTGTATTTATCCAACCTAAATTTGAAACTTCCCAAGGTTTTAGCTTCGATAGAACCTTGGGTGGCTTTAAAAAGAGACTGGACAAATACAGTGGACCCTCAGCTAACGATATTAATCCGTTCCTGTAATCTCAACGACAGCTGAAATTATCGTTAGCTGAATTAATTTTCCCCATAAGAAATAATGAAAATCAAATTAATCCGTGCAAGACACCCCAAAGTATGAAAAAAAAAATTTACCACATGAAATATTAATTTTAATGCACACAAACTGACACTTACCTTTATTGAAGATCTGGTGATGATTGATGGGATGGGAGGAGGGGGGAGTGTGGAAGTTGTTAATGTTTAGAAGGGGAATCCCCTTCCATTAGGACTTGAGGTATCAAGTCCTTTTCTGGGGTTACTTCCCTTCTTCTTATAATGCCACTTGGACCAGCTTGAGAGTCACTGGACCTCTGTCGCACAACAAATCTGTTTATAGAGGCCTGTACCTCCCGTTCCTTTAAGATTTGCCTAAAATGGGCCACAACATTGTCATTGTAATAGTCACCAGCATGGCTTGCAATAGCTGTATTAGGGTGATTTTCATCCATAAAGGTTTGCAGTTCAATCCACTTTGCACACATTTCCTTAATCTTTGAAGTAGGCAAAATGGATTCCACAACTGGCATAGGCATCTCAGGGTTAGCCCCAAACCCTTCAAAATCTTTCTTAATTTCCATACTAATTCTCACCCTTTTTATCACAGGGTTGGCACTAGAAGCTTTCTTGGGGCCCATGGTGACTTATTTTGCAGGTACAATCACTAAAAACGCTGTGATAATATGAAATGTTCCGATTGTATGCGTGGATGCGACCGCACTGGCTGGCCACAGGACATCTGAGGCGCGCTCAGGCCACACGTGGACACGTCTCGAACGAATCGCATTGGGTGAGTTTTTTAGCGTTAGCCGAGACAAAATTTTTGCGTTAAAATATATCGTTAACTGGATTTAACGTTAGCTGATGCCATTGTTAGCTGAGGGTCCACTGTACGTGAGTGGGAGGGGCAGGGTCTGATTGGTGTCGTGGGTACATAATAACATAAGAAAAGAGGAACATTGCAGTAGGCCTGTTGGCCCATACTAGGCAGGTCCTTCATAGATCCAACCCACTAACAGAAACGTACCCAAGCAATAAGCATTGACAATTCTATTTACTCACCTTGACTGTATGCTAATGGAGTTACAGGAAGCTGACATCGAAGAAATGCTGAACACTGACAATGATGCACCTGTTGTGCATTCCTTGAGTGATGGTGAAATTAGATGAATTGTGATAGATAAATAAGCCGTAGAGTTGATATTAGCATATTGAAGTACGTATTTTGTTGTGCCTCCTGAGAGCAGGAATTCCGCTGGAACGGATTAATGCCATTTCAGTTAATTTAAATGAGGAAAATTTATTCAGCATATGAACAAATTGGGATACGAACAAGGTCGTGGAACGGATTAAATTCGTAAGCTGAGGTTCCACTGTACTTGAATTATGTGTCATTCCAGAATAAGTGGGCCTCAACCTAACTCTGGTAAACAAGTAGGTAGTACTTAACCACTGAACAGGTCATCATCTGATTAAGACCCATGTCAGGAGACAGTGTGTTGTTTTCTGGTGAATAAACCAATACCACAACCCTCATCTTTGTTATTTTCCTGGAAACTAGTACAGGGTTTAGTGTTTGGTCAAAAAATTATTTTTCTTAACTCTCACTGTCTCCCATGTAGATCTATGTTATTGATGCCAGTGTCATTTATGTAGATCTACATTTTAAGAACAGCTCCCTCAAATATGCCGTGAGAAGTAAATTTTGGCACTAAACATGAGAGAATGGGTCTGTGCAGTGAGTGCACAGTATAAAAAGTATCATGCCCCACTTAGTGCATAATAGAAAAAGCAAACCTCTGACTCTGTGTTTGGTTTAAAATAACAACTTTGAGGTGTTTTCTAGAGAGGTTTTTATGGTTTTATTCGATCAGTAGAAGACATAGTAGTGAAATAGAAATGATTTTGGTTGATTTCAGATAAGAAATAGCTTGAAATAGGGCTCACAGTGTCAGAAATATTTGACTTTTATTGATTTTCATGAGGAAGGGTAGGTGACCTATATCATAACCAGTCATTCATTATATTTTATCTGAGAAATAGGGTAAAACATATTTTTTGTGTGATGATGGATTCAAAATGAAGGACAAGTATTATTTATATACAGTGGACCCTCGGATATCAGCCATTCTGGATATTGACCAAATTGGATTTCGGCCGCTTTTTTGGCCTAAATTCTATCCTGGATTTCGGCTGGCAACTCAGAAATCGGCTGTATTGGACACATCCACCCCCCACGTTTCATGATAATCCATTGTTTTTTGTGGTTGTTTATTGAGTGTGACTGCAAAATAAGCCACCATGGGCCCAAAGAAACAAGTTACATAGTATATAAAAACATGCAATGTTTATATACTATGTATGTTTAATAATAATCTCTCTTGGGCACATTAAATGTCTTATTTTAGGTTAATATAGACATTTTCATTAACCCTGTGACTGTTTCAGTCGTATATATATGTCTTACGAGCCACTGTGTTTGACGTATATATACTCAAAAATTCTAGCGGCTTCAAATCAAGCAGGAGAAAGCTGGTAGGTCCACATGTGAGAGAATGGGTCTGTGTGGTCAGTGTGCACCATATAAAAAAAATCCTGCAGTATGCAGTGCATAATGAGAAAAAAAACTGACTTTTTTTTGGATTAAAACGCCGACTTTGTGGTCTATTTTCGTATAGTATTTATGGTTGTATTCTCGTTTTCTTGGTATCATTTCATAGAATGGAAAACATATTATAGAAATAGAGGTGATTTTGATTGGTTTTACTATGAAAAGAACTTTGAAATGGAGCACAAAGTAGGGGAAATATTTGATTTTTGCCAATGTTCAAAAGTAAACAAATGATGTCATTGTCCAATAAATGTCCAACTAGCCATTCTAAATGCAGTCATGAATGGGTTGACATTATTTATACAATTATTACAATATTGCATTAGTCTGCATAACAGTAAATCTTCTATTTTTTATTTGAATAAAAATTCAAAATAGAAGGCAAGAGTAATATCAGAGGGGCCTGGAAACGTGACTGATGAACAAAGAAAATGTTATTTTAGAGCCAGGAATGTCTGAATTGTTCATTCTGGACCCTATTTTGAAATTGGCATATTTTTTAATTTGCATGAAATTGGCCAAATTGCAAATTTCTGACCAAGTTATTGGGTAGTTGAAATCGGTAAATGGGCAGTTTCTTGTACTCAATCGATAGAACAAATGGAGTTCTAAATAAATAGCTATGAGTTTGATCGACTGGAAAAATGGAATTAGCCGAAAATAGGGCTCAAAGTGGGCAAAATCGCCAATTCGTAAATATCGCCGAGGTCGCTAACTTCGCAAGAGTGTAATTCCGTAAGTTTTCCATAAAATTTCGTTCTTTTGGTGTCATTACCATTGGGAAAAGATTCTCTCATTTCATAAGATTTTTTTTGTTTTTTTCAAAAAATTTTCAACACCAGGAGACACCTCAGGATTTGGGGTTTCAACAGTCAAGGGGTTAATCCATCTATGATATTTTCTTAAAAATTATGTAAGAAACACG